CAATTCCTGACAAGATACCAACGAATGTATGCATAAACTCACGCAACATAAATGCATCACCAACCAATTTTGCTGGCAAAATAGTACTAACAGGGGAGAACGTTGGCATTAGACGCTGATCAGTTCTCTCCAAGTCATCTGTTTTAGTAAGTAACGCGGCACATTCTTCATCAATTTTCTCCATAAGTTTAGCGCGCTTTTCGGCTTTCTGACGCATTTGCTCCAACAGTTGTTCTTCTTTTTGGCGCCTTAAGCGCTCCATTTCTTCTTTTAATGACTTGGCCTTGGCCTCTGATTTTTCTGCCTTCTCTTTTTCCAGCTTGGCTTTCTCCTGCGCACTGACAGTTTTACTGGTGGACTTTTCATTCTCCGGCTTCTTGCCGAAATAATTATTGAGGGTTGATTGCTTTTTGGCATCCTCTGGTTTCTTTATTTTGGCTGGCGTAAAGTGTGGCATTTTTCCAATAAATATTTTGTCGAAAGTAATCTTTCGTTCTGTGACATATTTCTGATATGATTCTGGTTTCGGCCTCAAAATACCATCGACTCGCACAACATTGTTCTTGATAAACATTTGCAAGTTTTCGGAAGTAAATTCAAACCTTTGACGCTTTACTTTATCAAATGGAACTGTAGCTTCTGTTTGTGACTTACCCAAACTCTTTAATTTGTACAATAAATTCTCTGTGTCCTCGTAGACACCATTCGCTGGTACTTTCTTATCCGGCGACTGAATATCGACTACGGTGTAAGGGGCATATTTATTTTTTTCCATAATCTGAACTTCCTCATTGAGAAAGAAACGTTTGCGCAAAAACCGAAAAGTTAAAGCGTTCAAAACGTTTAGAGAACTCTGTTTGGCATGCTCTATAACCAGCATCACTGGCGGACGCAGACTATCCTTAAACATTTCCATCTTTTTGCGTGCGCGTTTTTCACTCTTCAAAGCCTCGGCATATGTGAGATTATCCTTACCCGTGGCTTCACATTGCCACACAGTCGAATTTATAGCCATTACATGACGAAAGTAATCCCTACATTAGAAATTTACCACCAATTATTATGTTAATTGTAGTGTAAGAAACAGTAGACCACCAAAGTATACTTACTCATATTGTTTGAATATTTCCTTGGTCACCTCGCAGTAGAAGACCTCTTCGTTATCGTGAAACGTTTCATCTTTGTTTTTGGAGGGAGCGTTGTCGAAGCCATCGCGTTTACAAATAGGCATCTTTTAATTTTGTATATTTTACTTATTAAAATTATTGTAAAATGTTGACTTCCTTGAGTTTTTCTCTATTTTTCTTAATTCTTTCAAAATTCCTTTTTGTTGTTTATACAAGAAGCATGTGTGTGTTAGTGTGTAAAAATGTAAAGTCTAGCACAATTTTTTTCACGACACAAGAAACAATTAAAAATACAATTTTCGTTATTTATTCAAATGCAATTTGATTTTATTTTCATTCTCGAACAATCAGCAAGTTGTTTTTGAATAGATTCTTTAGTTTTTATTCATTAAATTTTAGTGAAATTTAATAATTTTTGCAAAATTCACGCGCGAAAATTTTAATGTATGTTTGGCGTGCTTTTTTTTGTATGAATTTACCAAAAAAAAACGACAAATGCCCAACCGCCAGAGACCTGCGCCGATAAACATTATCGACGGCGGCAGCTAACGTTAAAAATTTCGGCGGTGTCTTATCGACTCTAAGCAGTCTAAATTTTCAGCTGTTTTTAAATTTTTCAACAATATTGAATAAAAAATGGATTCATTGATTTTGAAAGAAAATATTGGGAAAATTCAGGATTTTGAATCGGAATAATATTATCGAAATCCTTTTAAAAAGTCATTACAACGACTCATAAAATTAGATTTTATTTATTTCCATTTGACAATATTCACTTGAAATTCAGAAAAGCCCAATAGAAAGTTGCATTCTTCAATAGAAATTCCAAAATCACTATTTAAATTTTTATCAATTTCGAAAGATTTTAGTTTTGTTTGTTTATATGTTTGTACTTTAAGTTTGCTTAGCTGCATCTGCAGCTAAGACTTCTTGGACGAATCGAAAAATTATAACGCCAACACCAATTATTCCAGAATGACTGGACAGTTGGGTTCTATAGTTGAAACGAAAAGTCAACTTTTCGACTTTTTTCATTTAGTTAAAAGTCGACTATTCGACTTTTTGCATTTTAAGTCGATTTTTCGACATTTTTCATTTAATTAAAAGTCGACTTTTAAACTTTTTCCGACTTTTTTCGACTTTCTTCGACTTATCGACTTTTTTAGACTTTCAGACTTTTTTCGACTTTTATTAACAAAGTCGACTTTTCGACTTTTTTCACAGACGATAGTCGAGTTATCGACTTTTTTGGAACAAAATAGTCGACTTCGACTTTTCGATTTTTTTCGACAAAAAGTCGATTGTTCGATTATTCGAAAGTCGATTTATAGAACTCTACTGGACAGAATATCAAATCAATATCAATTTTTTTTGGTTCTCCACCATAATCAAAATTAAAACTTAGGCTAAGTTAACACGAATGAATATGGTCAACATGCACTTAAAAAACCGTAACTCGGTACAGTTATTCGACGTAACACATTGACCAACGTAAAACTCTCGAAGGAAGAGCAAAAAGGACGGCCTGATTCCCTTTAAGCGATAACGGTAACGAAGCACGATGGGAATGAAAAAAGTATGTTTGTCAAGCCGCTTGTGTAGTCTATTTGGGCCTTTACATTGAGTTCTTGCAAACTAACTTGTTATGATCTCTAGTAAATGTATGTATATTAGATATTTCAATTATTCGTATGCAAAACAAATTTCCTCCTTTAAATCAAATGTCCAAAAACACTACTCCCTCTATCCTTCTTCCCACTACCAATTATTCTAGATCCAATAACCCCTACTAAATCCCCCTTCACACTAGGGTTCTATAGTTGTAACGAAAAGTCGACTTTTCGACTTTTTGCATTTAGTTAAAAGTCGACCTTTCGACTTTTTCCATTTTATGAAAAGTCGATTTTTCGACTTTTATTTACAAAGTCGACTTTTCGACTTTTTTCATATTAGTACAAAAATCCTATTTTAAAAAATCGTCGAATTTAGACTTACCATATCATTTTTGACAGTGAAAATCGTCAAAATGACGATAAATCGTCAAATCTGGCAACAGTGGATGCAGCGTACTTTTGTGGCTCCATCTATTGCCGAAAATGTAAAAATATTTTGACATTGTAATTAAATTCTCATCAATCTGGCAGCACAAATTGCGAAATGCAGCCAACTTCACAGTAGAAATTGACATTTTGCGAATTTCTTGACTTGAAGGTACTGGAGAGGTGGATTTTTCATAAAAAAAATATAGATTACATAATTTTTAAACGAAAATTACAACAAATTTTTATAAAAATATATTTCTAACTCTTTTTTTAGAAGTGTAAAGAACCTAAAAATGGCAGACAAAGTTGTTGAGAAGCCCGTTGGCAATCCCATGAAGTTCCCCTACACTTTTTCGGCCAAAATCGCTCAATTTCCATTGAAACATTACATTAAGAACCAATGGATCTGGCGCTACTACTTCGTTGCTTTTGGTTTGTGTATTCCAGTCTTCTACAAGATCAGCAAACTCGGTAAGCAATGTTTTTCACTTTAATATCAATAATAAATAATATTGGTTGTTGAAAAAATCTAACCTCATTTTTCTGTTTTTGCTTTTAGCCAACTCTCCTGGAAACAAGAAGGCCTGGGCTGAAAGCCAAGCTAAAGAACATGCCGAACATCACTAAATTAAGTGTTCATAGATTATGGCATTCTTGGAGATTGTTTCATATATCGTCGTGTATTTAAGTTTATTTCTGATATAATCTGATTCTAAAAAAATAAATGTAAAACTCCTTCGAGTCTTAAAATAAGTTATGTTATTAACTTGGGAAATACTGCAGGCTACTGTTACTAATTTTTCTTTTGGTTTGAAGTTTTTCAGTAGTTTCATTAATTTTAGGAGATATTCCCAAAATTTCTAAACTATAGATAATGTCAGTTTTTCTAATATAAAAAGGTGCAAATTAAACATTTGAAAACTACTAATCAATTTGGTTCTACAGGCTTCAAATAATGAAGATAATTGTTTGAAATTCGTATAATCTAAAAAATTTAACGACCTTATTCATAATTAAAAACGAACTGCTAAATTTATTGCTGCTAACCATAATATAACATAACATTATGGTTGTATCATGGCTGCTAAAATTTTTGTGTGTAAATTCCTATAAGAGAATTCGATTTTTAGTTAATTCTTTAGAAGTTAATTTTGTATTTGTATTTTTTTTTTAATTCCAATAGTAGTAAGAATGAGCTATTTCTGAAACGCATCATTGCACTGCATCGGTTGCGATGCTGATGCAAATAAACTGATGCTCATTTTATGCATAGAGGTTTACTTTCGCTTTAAAACGGGTAAATGAAGTTCATAAAACAAATTAAAATCTAAATACATACCCATTCATTTATCAGTCATTTTTATGATGCGAATTTTGCCGTTTTTTGCAAATGATAATTTCTGTGATGCATTTCCGAACAGGTCCAGTATTAAGATTAGGGACTATCATAATTTTAGGTTTGAATAATTTCAAGAAAAGAGGAAAATCCAATGTCTAAAATCTCTATTAGTGTTAAGAATACCGAGATTGCTTCGAAAAAGAAATCACCATAAGTCGAAAATGATTAATGATTCGCTAATTAAACCAAAATGAAGAAAATTTTATTTACTAAAAATATTAAAATTTAAACGCTTAGGATATTTAATAAGCGAGATATATGCAAATTTTTACTTGGCGGTCTCGGGATTAGTGATGAATTTTAGCAACTTATTAAGGATCTCAAGACGATCCACTTTGCGTCTTTTCATTTAGCTACTGAAAATTCCGCTTTAAAAAGCTTATTTTCACTAGTCCAATATTTCGCTACGCTGTTAGAAATAATAAGCTTCAATTTATATTTCTCTCAAAGATATATTGAATATGGTAAATAAAAATATCTTAATATTAAACAATTTTATAAATACAGTAGAGCTACTCTGTGCTGAGAAAATGGTCTGCATCTATGCTCGAATATATGTGACCTTCTCCAATCATGAAGTCTAGTATAGGACTATAAGTAGAGAAGAAATATTTGTTTTTTATTTAACTGATCTAAATTTTTTTTTTTATTTTACTTACTTCAATTCATTATCCGTCATATGTGTGAATTTTCGTTTTAATTCCGAACGACTAATACCATCGGTAGAGTTGTGATTTTTGATAGCCTGAAAAACGGCCAATTGTTTTCCTTCTAAGCCTAAATCACTACCTCCGGTTGAAGATTTAGAACCACCGAAATCGCCATATCCCTTAGTTGCATATTCTTCAGCTTTGTATCTAGCATTTAAAACTTCCAGTACATGGGTGACTACTTCGTTAGGGTCATTAACCGGCAGCATTTTAAAAACCATTAATGTCTTTTGTCCGCCCTGCGATCTTACACTTCCATAAACAGTGGCATATTTGTTTACCATAACATCGGGCGCCTTCAAAGTGTCCCCTTCCTCCAACCAATAGTGAGCATCAATCCGTCCAGTACTATCCTCCAACAAATAAGTTATCTTTGTTGATGATGTTTCAATATTACGCACAATCGCCTTTACATACACCATGCTAAATGTCATATCGAACATCTGAAAGTTTCCTTCTGGAGAATTTAGGACTTGCTTTATTAATACCGGAACAATACCCTCAGCTTTTTTTTCAGCCGAAGCTCCCTCAGTTGTTTGTGTTGCATTAAAATCTCCTTGGTCTTAATTATAAATAATTTAAAATATATTTAATTAATATAGTATTAAATTTATACTTACATGTATCGTTCATTTTATTTCAAATGTGATGAAATTTTTGCTGAATAATAAAGAAAATTGGCTACCCAGTTTCGCTGTTGGTTTGTTTGTTTGTTTGCATGTGTTGTTGCCGCGTTTTTAAATCAAAAAGCAGTAAAGCTTATTTAGCGATTTTTTATTGAAGTTTATCGATTTTTACCTTAATTTTATTTTTTTATTTAATAATTATTTTTACATTTTAATAGTTGTTTTATATTATTAATTATTAAATTTGTTAAATAAGTAGATGTTCCAGTTCACGGTTTTTGTTAATTTTAACAAGTTTATTTGTAATGTTTTTTGTTCATGTTTTTATACAGAAAAGTTATCATCACTTGAAAATTTGAGTTGCCAGATGTACATTATAAATCAATTTTTGTTAATTTTAACAAGTTTATTTGTAATGTTTTTTGTTCATGTTTTTATACAGAAAAGTTATCATTAGGGTTCTATAAATCGACTTTCGAATAATCGAACAATCGACTTTTAGTCGAAAAAAGTCGAAAAGTCGAAGTCGACTATTTTGTTCCAAAAAAGTCGATAACTCGACTATCATCTATAAAAAAGTCGAAAAGTCGACTTTGTAAATAAAAGTCGAAAAAAGTCGAAAAGTCAAAAAATCGGAAAGTCGAAAAGTCGAAAAAAGTTGAAAAGTCGAAAAAAGTCGATAAGTCGAAGAAAGTCGAAAAAAGTCGAAAAGTCGAAAAGTCGGAAAAAGTCGAAAAGTCGGAAAAAGTCGAAAAAAGTCGAAAAGAGTCGAAAATTTTAAAAAAGGGGAAAAGAGGTCAAAAACTCTAAAATAGTCGGAAAAACTCGAAAAAAGTAAAAAAATAGTCGAAAATAGTCGAAATAAATCGAAAATAGTCAAAAATTCGTAAAAAATCAAAAAGTCGAAAAATCGGAAAAAGTCGAAAAGTCGGAAAAAGTCGAAAATAGTCGAAAAGTCGAAAAAAGTCGAAAAAAGTCGGAAAAAGTCGAAAAGTCGAAAAGTTGGAAAAAGTCGAAAAGTCGGAAAAAGTCGAAAAGTCGACCATTTATAAAATACTAAAAGTCGAAAAGTCTAAAAGTCGACTTTTAAATAAATGAAAAAGGTCGAAAAGTCGAAAAATCGACTTTTCATAAAATGGAAAAAGTCGAAAGGTCGAAAAGTCGACTTTTAACTAAATGCAAAAAGTCGAAAAGTCGACTTTTCGTTTCAACTATAGAACCCTAGTTATCATCACTTGAAAATTTGAGTTGCCAGATGTACATTATAAATCAATATCTGGCAATTCAAAAGTAATTATGGAAAATCGCGTGAAATTATATATGTTTCAAAAAATATGTTGAATGTCTGTGAAATGTCGAAAACAAAAATTTTCCAAATTGTGCCAAATATAATAAAAATTAAATTAATGAGAAGAAAATCAAAAATTTCGAAGTTGTTCAGATTAATGGTCTTTGAAAAAACTAAAACGTTTAAAATTATGATTTTATGATTTTTTATTTACTATTTATGTTTAAACATAAAAACGTAATCCATATATTTTTAACAATATTTTATTTTAAATCATATTATGCAAATAAACTACTAACATTTAATGACTGGAAGACTTTGTTAACATAAATTTAAAGCTGCTGCTTTTTCTAAGGAAAGTGTGTTTTTGTGTATTGAGTATTCTGAGTTTACATATTTTCTAATTATATTTTAAATTGCCAATGCAAATGTATTTGACCTCTGTATATTCGTCAATACCGTGATGAGAACCTTCACGTCCAATGCCCGACTCTTTTATGCCGCCGAATGGAGCTTCAGCAGCAGAAATAAGACCTTCATTAACACCAACCATGCCAACTTCAAGACGTTTGGCTACGCGGAATATTTGTTGAATGTTGTCACTGTAGAAATATCCAGCTAAGCCACGGCGGGACTCATTGGCCTTTGCCAAAGCTTCCTCCTCAGTGCTAAATTTAATGATAGAGACAACCGGGCCAAATACTTCTTCGGTGTAAATTTTAGCATTTGCAGGAATATTTGTGACAACTGTTGGTGCATAAAAGAGATCACCCAACTCTTTCAAAGGTTTGCCGCCGCAAAGAATTTCAGCATTCTTACTACGCGCGTCTTCTACAAAACCTGATACTTTGTTAAACTGCATTGCATTTACTAAAGGACCCACTTGAGTAGTGTCTTTATCACCAGGTCCAATTTTCAAAGCTTCTACACGTTCCTTAAGTGCTGCTACAAATTTATCGTAAATTCCCTCTTGCACAAAGAAACGATTGGACGAGACGCAGGTTTGTCCACAGTTACGGAATTTGGAAGCCATTGCGCCGTCTACAGCCTTTTCCAAATTGGCTGAGTCAAAGACAATGAACGGGGCATTTCCTCCCAATTCTAAGGAAACACGTTTAATACCATCTGCTGACTGACGGAAGAGTATTCTACCAACTTCAGTTGATCCTGTGAAGGAAATGCCTTGAACATCTGGACTTTTGCAAAATAGTTCTCCTATAGGAGCAGCCTTGTTTGAGGTTACAACATTGACAACACCTTTAGGTATACCAGCTTCTTCAGCCAATTTGGCAACAGCCAGTGCTGTAAACGGAGTGTCCTCAGCGGGTTTTATAACAACAGTACATCCTGTTGACGTAAAAAAAACATAAATTATGGTGTTTTAACTTTGTAACAACTAGTAGATAGTTGATATACTAACCTGCAGCTAAAGCTGCTCCAGCTTTACGTGTAATCATGGCCAATGGAAAATTCCAAGGTGTTATTAGAGCTGCTACACCAAGAGGTTGTTTCATGACAATCAATTCCCGATTGGGAACTGGTGTTGGTACTATTTCACCATAGATACGTCTAGCCTCCTCTGCGAACCATTCCATAAATGCATTTCCATAGAAAACTTCTGCTTTGGATTCAATAATTGGTTTGCCGGACTCAGCTGTCATAATTTCAGCAATTTCTTGAGTATGTTTTTCAATCAGATGATACCAATTCTGTTATACAATATATGCATGTTCATTCATCATTCATTGGCACAATTTCAGCCCCCACCACAACTTACCTTTAATAATTGTGACCTCTGTTTTGCAGTCAGTGAAGTCCACTCCTCGGAATAGAATGCATTTCTTGCAGCTGTAATTGCCATTTGTGCATCCTTTTCATTCATGTTGGGCACAATACCAATAACCTTGCCGTTAGCTGGATTTTTTACCTCAAAGGTATCACCACTCAGGGCAGACACCCATTTGCCATCAATTAAAGCTTTCGAGCACAAAAGCGAGGACATCGAACGTTGTCTTTGCCATAATTGTTTGTGCTGGACAGCACACAAAACACTTCTTCGCAACATTATCGATTATCCAATTGATTGATGATTTGCCTGTATTCTAAAATGTTGTACTATAGGTATACTCCCAATTTTAAAAGTATGTTTTCTAATTTAAGCTCAACTCACCAACAATTCTTTAGCGTTAGAATGTGTGCTTTGAGTAGTCTGTCTGCTATACTAGATTTTGGAATTTTTCCGTATGTTATAGTTGACTAGTTTATTTCTTGATTACTTTTAATCATTTCAATTGCTATCGTATATTTTTATGTGCTAAAAGGGCGAGAGGGGTCCAATTCTTAGTGGTAATAATGATAAGATAAGAGAGCGAGATTGTCAAAAATGTGCAAAAAAATAAACAATGAAACAGTTAAACTATATTAGGTCTGTTCGCGTACTCGATAATTTGTAACAATTTGCAACAATTGTTACTGGAATCCTTTCACGTCAGGGTTGGCAAAATTGGTACAATTGTACCTTTTTTGGTACAATTCAATCCTCAAAAGTACAATGGTACACCAATGACCCATTTTGTTGAGAAACTTTTTCTTAATTCTCTTTTGAAGTTTCCTTAATGTCCACGCCAAGATATATTAATTATAAGGTAGTGTCGTCGGCGAATTCAGAAAAACAGCGAATTCATTTTATTTTTTATATATGGAGTTTGACAGTATGCCTACACTTAAAAGTGCCAGCACACTGTCAAAATACATGTAAAAAAAATCAAAAGTGTTTTAGCAAAAAACAATCAGCTGCTCTGTTAACACTACCTTATAATTAATATACCATGGTCCACACAGAAACTTTTGTTTCAGAAACTACGTATTAAGGTATTTTCAGACTACAATACTGAGTATTAATACTTGTCAAAAATATTTGTATCATAATACAATTTACTAGTCTAAATATAATTTGTAATTTGATTTTCAAAAATATTACTGATTTTTTTGGCATACGGTCGGTATTCATAAATTTTTTAAAACAATTCAAAAACTTTTTATTTTCAAACGTATTCGGTATGTATTTTATAAATACAATAAAAAACAAACAAAAAGTGTAAAATACATTAAAAATAAGAACGAAAAGTGCATAAATAATTGAAAATTGGATAAAAAATATTACAAATGTTATAGTGTAAACATAAAATGTATATTTCAGATTGATTTTTTGAAAATGCGAATTATTTTCATAATATTTTTAATTTGAAGTGTGTTAATACTCAGTATTGTAGTCTGAAAATACCTTTAATTGCATTGATTTGTTGTTGTACGAATGAGAAGAATAACAAAACAAAACAAGTTTCCGAGTACGAGAAACTCCGTACCGCGAGAGAGATGAATGATATTCTTTCTCTTTCTCTCTCACGCAAAATCAAAAGTTTCCCAAAAAAAGTTTCCTAGTGTGGACCGGCAGTTACTGAAATAATAATCTAAAATTATACTTCTGACATAAAGTTCAAAGGTAGAAAGTCCTTCGATAAATTCTGAAGAGGAAAAATATAATTCACAGGCTTGTCATAGGAGGGATGTTTTTTATTTGATTCCAGATTCACTACTTCTGAAGTCATTCTCTTTTTTAGGAAGTTATTCGGAAGTGAAATTGTAGTATTATAGAATAAAACTAGTTTGGCTTAAATAATATGAACATTAAAGGAGAATTTTTTGATTTTACTGGATAGGTATTTTTTCCCCAGTAAAAAATATCCAACATATGTTCACAATATTTGGTTGAAATATGAATACGTAAACAAACCAAAGAAAACTAAAATTTGGTAAATAAATAACACACG